AAGATAAGTAAATAAATGTTTAACCCGATTTAAATATTGACACAAATTTTAATTCAAATTTAAATAAATTATTAATTTCAACAAGTGTTATTTCTTTTTTTCTTTTTTTTTTTACATAAAGATTTTTTTTAATTCGATTTCATTTTATGTGTGACAGCAAAACCTATAGGTTAGATTTTTTCACACACATTTTTTTTTTTTTTTTTTATCCCTCCATGTTTGCGTGTTTTCTGCCCGGATTGCACAGCCCATCCGCTTTATCCTAATTACATAAATATTATAATATTTCAGGGTTTATTTTTGGTAAGAATTTGCCTTTAAGTGTGAGATCATTACTTATTGGCTGCTGAGGGTAGTTACCAACAACAGCGCAGCATCAGACAGGTATAAAAATATAAAAATAGGTAGATCAATAACTGATGTTTCATTTTAAAATGTCAGAAATTTATGAATGATTAAAACTGCATTATACATTATAAATAAAGGTTGTATTGTGTATTTATTGCCTATTTCCGTTATCTGTTTTATACATTGACCATTTAAATCTGTCGACGTGAGATGTTCACTTAATGTTGTGCTCTCGTGCAAATAATCCCAGCTGACTTCTTTAGTTAAATTCCTCCTTAATCACGCATAAATCCACAAATCCGTTTAAAGTAAGCGGTGAATGCGTTTGAATAAAGTGGCCTCCTTATTTGAGCTGACATTGGAGATCCTAAGGGGTGGATTATTCGAAGCAAAAAGGAGATCTGGGACTCTATTCTTGCTTTTTGTGAAACAGGAGATTTATTGGGGAGAGCGCAGCCCTGACTGTAGGTAATCTCACTTGACAGGGTGGGGGCCTTAAACGCGTTATGATTTAAGACAGGCCTTTAGGCCCGCGTCTGAACATACTCCATTTGGTTGGTTATTTTACTGCTTGTTTTACCTTTTTTTCTACATTTTTATTACATTCTTTTATGTGTTCAAGTTAAAATCTAATCTTAAGACCACCCTGACCACACAATCGTTGCTTCTTTTAAATCCCAACAGATTAATCATCTCCAGATCCCAACTAATTCACTTGCTGTGTTCTCATACTTATGAAAATAAAATCACATATTTCTTAACACAGTGAGTTACAGCGTAATACTGCTGACTCGGAACAATAAACACATAATTGATAACATTTGCTCTTGTTTCGTACTATTTTTAAAGCTTTTATGAGGATTAGGAGTTTGGATGTAGGAATAGATGATTTCTTATCTGAGTCATTGGGCGCCCTCGTGTGGCAGTGATTGTTACTGCAATTTGCTCTGGTCTACACAGTCAGCGTATGTTTTTTAAATTTAAATTGCTCTATAATTTACTTCTTTAATATAGTTACCTTACACATATATATGTAACTATACGTTTATAATGAAATAACTTTTTTTTTTTTTACTAAACCGGACGTTAATACAAACTCCCCTTGCTGCTTCCTGTGACGTAGCGCTAGCTCCTGATGCTACACGCGGGAAACAGAAGCTCGTCTAAGTGATTGTAAGGTTTTTAGTTTTATTAAGGTGTTTTCCTTCTTGAGAGAAATTTTTCTAACTGTTCGTTACAGCTAGCGAAGGGTGCAAAGTGAATATATGCTTCAGTTAGAGTGGTTAGTGTGCTATTTAAACCTTTAATTCGTGATTTGTTTTCCTCACGTTTGCGTTGCCTTGTTTGTGCGCTCGTTTAACTGAACAGTTCGCCGCTGCTGGGCGGTGATGTTGCGCGTGCCGTTTCATGTCGCATGTATATGTGAACCCCCAGGACGCAGTCAGACATTGTAACACGAAAGAAGCGAACCTTGTATCCTTTCTGTTAGCTTAGCGGCTATGTTACTCCTGGAAGAGACTGACCGACATTACAGCTCTAATTTACTCCGGTTAGACTAACTACAGAGGGCAAACTACTGCTATCTAAAGTAGTTTAGAAACAAAGCCACACTGTCGTCTTTTTAAATTTACATCACTTGAACTCTCAGAACTATGATTTGGTTGGTACATGTCATAATGAGGAAAAGCAGATAATGTGTGTGCCTATGTCGAATGTGCTTTCTCTAATCGCTGCGCATGTGTACATCTGATTATCTGTCTCTAGAGCATCAGTTATCAGCCAACATGGGGGACATGCTGGAGTTTAACGACATCTACCAGGAGGTCAAAGGCTCTTGGGTATGAAGCTACACTACATTTGAACTCATTTCCACTGGTAGTGGGATTATTGGTGTTTATAAGCTTTGACCTTTCAACATTTATTACACTACAGCCACCTACCTTATTGTATATCATCCTTCTTTTATATGACACTCCAACACAGATTAATAAATAATTGAAAAGGACAGATTGTTTTGATTCGTGTGAAGATCAATTTTAAAGCCTTGTCTCAGATTCTGTTGGATTTAGGTCTGGACTCATGCAGTTTAGTCCTGTGACAATATTTAGCTCCAACCTTCTTCCTAATCATCTCCTTCCCTCTTGTAGGGAAAAATAAATCCTCACACAACGTTGTGACCACTACCAAAGTGATGTCACACTTTTGTTTTCTATACAAAAATTTGCCCTTTTCAAGGACAGATTTGTTAAGCAACTTGTTTTGTTGTTTACAGATTCTGTGCACCACCTTATCTGCATCATGCACCTATATAGTATATATATATATATATATATATATATATATATATATATATATATATATATATATATATATATACACACTATTTAATATATTTTGATAATTATTCTGTAACTAAATAATTTGAGACTTCATATCTGACCTGTTGCCTTGATCTGTTGTACAAGAATCATTTAAGGGCATCAGAGTAAAAGAGGTTTTATATACTGTATATATGTACACAAAAAAAAAGGATTATCATTACACCACTTTGGTTTAATTTCCGGCCTTTTTTCTTTTTCTGTTGCATTAAGTACTTTTTTCACATTTTATGACACATTCCTACTCAATTTTGGGCTATATAGGCTATTTCTTTTCTTCAAGAGAGCTGAATTTGTATTTTAAAAGGATTTACAAAAAATATGAATTTTGATTGCTCTCTCTCCATGTACTACAGATGGAGTAATTTGTAGTTATTGTACTCTGCATTTCAATACACGTCTTGTTTTTTTCTTTTGTTTTTTTTTTTCCCCTTAGAATGATGGACGCCTGCGCTTCAGCAAACAGAATGTAGTTTATAAGAGCAACAAGACTGGGAAGGTTGACAGCATCCCAGCAGGAGAGCTCAACCTCGCTCAGTGGAGGCGAGTGTGCTTGGGCCATGGCATCAAACTTGGCACCAGCACGGGCCACATTTACAAATATGACGGTTTCAGGGACACGGTAAGTCCTGTGTTCGTATTTACCTATTCAGTCTCAAAGAGTCCCAGTCTGATAAAGCTATAAAGATTTCCTGCACATAAGAATTTTCCCCTTGAAAAGCTTAACATTTCTGCTTGATAAAGTTGTTTTTGTCAAGGATCCCTTTAATATAAGAGTTAAGCAGCGATTTCTATTTAAAAAAAAACATTTAATGAAGAGATAATAAATCTGATTATGAGGCGGGTTTATGTGACTGCTTTTTTTTATTTTGGCCCTTTACTCTGAGCATCAAGTCCACGTAAACAAGCCTAGTGTCTGCTGATAAACGGCTCCCTTCATTTGCTGTTATAGGTGAAGAAAAACATTGACGTATTTCTGCCATTTTAACTTTAGATGAGCACTTGTGGCTTTCTGTCAGGTTTCAAAATCAGTCCAATCTTCTCCTTCAAACTCTTAACTGGATTAATGAGGGAAATCAGTGCATTATGTATGTTTTATAAACTATGCAATCATTGACTCTGCTTGATCGGTGTTTATGTTTACTGAAGCACTTCAGCTCAGAAAATAGACCTGACATTTTTATTTTTTTCATTATTATTTCTATATACATTTTTCCCCTACATCTTTTCCCTAAGTATGAGGAGCAGCGGCGCGTAATCCTTAAAAAGGGATGAGGATGTTGGTACAACATGTCTCTTGGGGTTAATCAGCATATTTTTTTGTGGGGAAGATTGA